TCTTCTTGCCCCGCCGTTGATTAACATCTCTTTTGAATTCTCTCGTTCTTCGCCTACGTACGTGTCACGCGCCGATATTAGCTCGGCGAGATTGCTGACTTCTCCGGGTCACCGATGCGAAAACGTGACCCGGGCACGGTGGTCGTTGCCTGCAAGTTGCAAGTTTGTCAGAGTCTGAAGATACAGCAAGTCGTTCTTTTTTTTTTTTTTTTTTTCAAAGGGGGGGAGAAAAAGTGACATTAGCACATCGAATTAACGGAGAAAATGTCACTTCGAATCACTCTGCGAATGGCAGACGTCTGGATGTTAACACTAGCGTGTTAATTATTAGCGTTAATTATATCACGTATCACATAGTGAAACGAGCAGAAATAATTCGATTTTTTAAACACACACACACACACATATATATACATTATATATACACATTGTATTATGTATGTAAATACATCGTTACGAAATATATATAACGTGTTAATAACGTCGTCTTTGATGTATGAAGGAATTACGTAATCTTTATTTTACACATCATTTAATGACAATTACTAGAAAAATAGCGAGAGAGGGTTTTCAATTTTCGTTGTAGTTCCCTCGCTAGCTCGTTGACGAAAGTCAATCTCTACATTTCGAGATGTTACACCTTCTTAAGTGCTACTACAATAATTTCTTTTGTAAAAAAATACATATTCGTTTCCTTCTTGCTGAGACTCGATGACTCGTTCAGTTCTATTGTACATACATCAATGAAAAATATCTAGAAATTTTCTTCCACAACGTTCTCGCGTATTTTCTACGTTTTTCCCAGAAATTTAATCCGAACATTGTACATTGCCATAGAAGGTTTGTCCGCTGTAAAGGACCAAAATTCGAATAATTGAACAGGGATTTTATTATTTGAATAATTTTAACCACAAACGCTCATCACAACGGCCCTTTTGGCGAGTACTTATATTTGCGAGCAGATTTTCTCCCCATACGAAGCACACATGAAAATAAAATAAGAGCAAAAGTTTTGAACGAGCATCTTGAAAGTACAGAGAAACTGGTTTAATTTAAGGCTCGGTGTTGTTCTCGTTGAAAATTTTTATATTTTTTTCATTATAATATAAATATATTTTTCTAACTTCTATAAGAAATTTTCTATCCTAGTTAATTTTAATATCCTCGTAAATAATATAGGTTACATTGATAAAAAAATATGTAAACTACGTTGCCTCGTAGACAAATTTTTGAAATGATACCCAGGAAATTTAAAAGGTTGGGCGCATGGCGAACAGAACGATTCGAACGAGTCTCTTTACTTCGAACTTCTCGCCTTTCTCTATTTACACTCGGTTGATAAAATAAGAAATGCATCGAGAGCGCTGCTGCGACAATCTGCCGACATTAGAGAGAAGTAACAAATACCATTCGGGTTCTTCGTAACAAGTGTTCATTGCGAGAAAGATTAGTACTCGTAAGTTGAAACGTCGGACGATGATTAACCCTTTGCATTCGACTGTCCCTTCTGAGGGGACCTAAATCGTACCTAAATCTAGAATTTCTTATTTTCATGATTTGCTGATCGTATACATTTGGTATTAAAGCTATAATAACGACTATAATAAAAAGAAGAAAAGAATTTCAGAAGACAGTCCTTTGCATCAATTGACACTCATTGGTATGATTCACATAAATTAAACTTCTCATTGTTTTTTTTTACGAAACTTGAAAAAATAGTGGAGAATATTATTTTTCCTATCATTAACTGTACGTTATATTCGTTCTGACAAACCCGCAACGCACATTGACGATTGCTTTATTGCGAAATTTAGCCTCTTGCGCTTGTGCCGCGCCACGTCGAGAATTTTTTGTCTCAAAATTGCAATATTTTCTCAGTTTTATGTCAATTTTTTGTCTCAAAATTGCAATATTTTCTCAGTTTTATTTAAGTAAAACAAAATAGACAAAGCAAACAATAAATTTATTACTTCTCTAATAATTTCTATCCAGTGATATCGTGCCGACGAATTCAAAAAGAAAGCGACGAATTATTGTACACGGTTTGGTCACTCGTTATGGTCCGCAATCAGTTGGTTAACCACTTGCGCTGGAATGACGTGTCACGCACGTCGAGAATTTTTTCTCCCAAATATTGTAATATTTTCTCAATTTTAAGTATATTTACGTAGAACAAAATAGGCAAAACAAATAATAAACTTATTACTTCTCAAATTATTCAGCATTAATTATCCAGTGATATCATACCGACGAGTTCAAAGAGATAGCGACGAATTATTGTACACGGTTTGGTCACTCGTTACGGTCCGCCAATCAGTTGCTAGCGCAAGTTGGTTAACCACTTGCGCTGGAATGATGTGTCACGCACGTCGAGAATTTTTTCTCCCAAAATTGTACTATTTTCTCAGCTCTAAGTATATTTAAGTAAAACAAGTAATAAATTTATTACTTCTCAATAATTTTCAGCATTAATTATCCAATGATATCATACCGACGAATTCAAAGAGAAAGCGACGAATTATTGTATACGGTTTTGTCACTCGTTACGGTCCGCCAAACAGTTGCCAGCGCAAGTCAAACGATATCACACGTTAGGAAGAAGATGTGACAATATCATTTCAATGATCATTTCCAATGCCGTGTCATTTCACGATGCTTCGTGGTGATAAGATTTTTCGAGGACAAAGGGTTAATTCGAGATATCTGGCGAAGATCGACAAAAATCCCCAGAGGACGTCTACTCTCGTGCAATTTTCCCGTGGAATAATTCCACGCACACGCCAACGGCAGCTACAGTGATATATGGACAGGCGCATAAAAGACGCGTGCCTCCTACACGCGTGACCTACGACCGCGGCCGAATATTGAATCACTTTAATATCTCGGAACGAAACACGAGACGTACGACGAGCCGAGTCACGGCTCGTGTCGACCTTCTTCGCCCGTTCACCACGCGTATTTTCCGCTGCTGTCCTCCGTGTGTGTGTGTTCACGCGCGATACCTACCCACGCGAAAGAATCGAAACGCAAACTTCTGATATTAGCAACAATCTTTGCATGATCCTTCCTCCTCGTCCTCTATAGCCTCTAGACCTGCAACAATGCCCGTCCTCGAACGCTTGGAATTCGAGGAAAGACCGCCAACGATAAAGAATTACGAACAAACACGTGACATGTTTGAATTTGTGATGTACACTTTTTTACAAAGTCACTGTATATGTATTTATATATATTTACACATTGATATTTGGATGCGGCGCAGCGATCGATCACGGCTCGTTTTAAAGCTCGAAGCCTCTGTTTTTTTTTTTCTTAAAAAAAAAAAAAAAAAAAAAAGAATTAGAAAGATTTAATATCTTCATCAGTAGTGAAATTTAGCAAACCAATTCTAACACTGATC